ACGTGGCATGCGTCACAGATCTGTGGCATGCATTAAAGATCTGTGGCATGCGTAATTAGATGCCTCACAGATACGTGTGCTCAAATGCGTCACATCTAGTGCAGATGCGTCCCATGTAAATTACAGATGCGTCAGATGTTTCCCAGATGCGCCGCATGAATTCCCGAGCTTCCAGGGGTCTCATAAACACGTGGCATGCGTCACAGATCTGTGGCATGCGTTACAGATCTGTGGCATGCGTGAATAGATGCCTCAAAGATACGTGTGCTCAGATGCGTCACATCTTGTACAGATGTGTCAAATGTAAATTACAGATGCGTCAGATGTTTCCCTGATGCGCCACATAGGACTTCCAACAGATCGATAAGACTGTGCAAAAATTTGTATGGGCATACATTAGTCACACAGTGCATTAACCACAGGTGGCCCAAGTTCTGTCACAGGTTCTTTCACAGTGGAATATTAAAGAGTTTGTATAGTGGTTTAGTTGGAGCTGCTTTTGAGCTCCGTAAATGTAAAGTTGTGTGAAATAATCAAAGAAATAAAGTCTTACCTTCATAGAAAGTGGTCTGTGTTGTTCTCCTCGCGATTTGAGGCCGTTTTGATGTGTTTTAGCTTGACGCCCTAAGCACCACCGAGTCACCGTGCACAAGATACGGGTGACTGGAATACGTCAAAATATTCTGAAAAACTTCTAAAATAAAGGCGTGAAAGAAGATAATAATCCTACAACATCCGCTGTAGACTTTTATCCACTGAGTTGTTATTTCTTTTTTCAACTGAAATATCTGGTCTCCTGAAGCTACAGAAATGCTTCGTATTTTTTCAAATACTGCTCAGATTCTTTCAAAGATAAAAGGAAAGAAAACAACCCTAACATTTTCTTCGCGCACTCATATTCTGATGGTGAGTCTTGTGCTTGTAATTCATTGAGCTCGAAAATACTTTAAGTGTGGCGGTGCACCTATTTGATTGGTTAGTAGTCTCCCTCGCAGACATTTTTAGTCTCGTCACGCAACGCTTCTCCCCACAAACGGTCCTTTGTGGGGAGAAGCGTTGCGTGACGAGACTAAAAACGGCAGCGATGGAGACTAATTGGTTAGAGAGGACCTTGCTAATAAGTTTGGCTCAAAATATGCAATGATAGTTCAAGAAAATGAAAATGTTTTAGTTTTCAACTGGAAATTTAGCGATGACTACTTCCGACGGACAATTCTATTTATGCACTGAGAGAAAGTGTGCCTTCAAACAAACAAAACAACTGAAAAAATTGTTTGAAATGTACATTGCAATATTTGCCTTTCGAACCAGCTAAATTATTCAGAGCGTTCGACAGTTAAAAAAATTTGTTTTGTTCTTTTCGCTAGTCGATTACCTTATCTTCATCGGTAGTTTGTCCGAAAAATGCTGGGCAAAACATGTAATTTATGCACTCGTTTAACTTCAAGTTGTTAACTTTGCCTTGTTGCAAAGGCAGTCAATTTATCAGTTCGTTTCCTCCACTTTTCGTTCAGTTTAAAACTCGTTAAAACCAAATGTAGCTGACCCCAATTCAGCACTTTGATAAAGTTAGAATCAGTGGGTGCGTGCGTGACATTAAAACTTTCTTACATAGGCTGACCGGCTAGGCCCGATCGAAACGAAACTGAGGTATTGTAAACATACAAACAAACGCGACCGATCAGTAGCTTTGCGTATATGAAAATCGTCTCATGGAGGATAAATAGTATTTCATCCACCAAACGGTTTTTGGCTTTATGCACGAGCTAGTCTAAGGGATGGAAGCGTAAAAATTGTTAACCACCCTTACAGCCTATAGCTAGCGCTTTAGGCTCTTAGCTCGAGTTTGAAGGAAAGGCGACTAATTATAATCATGAGCCACAAAACATTCGGCTTCGGTTAACGCGTGTTTTTCCCTCCTGTAAAATAATTTTATATCTAGATCTATATTGCATTTATCCGGCACAAATCAATCTTTATATTCTTGCCATCGACGTACGTCTTCACTGAATGTAGGAAGTGCCTTTTGACAAGTAAATAGAGCCAGACGACGAGAGTATTGGATCAAACGCCGTTCAGAAAATTCCTGAACCGGCTTTAATTTTCCACTGAGAATGACAGAGAATAGCACCAAAACCTCATTTTTCCGATGTAGCTTCAAAGTTTATAGGTAAAATATAACAGCACTTTCAATCAAAATTTAAAACCTGAGGAAGATCGTTGAGCTAATGTGTAGATAACGTGGGCATTTACTGAGTAGAATTTCTTGATGACACGTATCGTTGTTTACTTTACTTTGGAAAATTCTTGTTCACTTTTTCGTGTACTTTGTATATATTAACGACAAATGTGACGCAACAAGAGCAATTTATTTTCGCACTTGGGTCTTGAATTACTCAGACCGACAACCGCGTTAAGATGATGCCAATTAATTTATTTGCCGCTAATGTTCCGCGTCAAAGGAAAGAACTCCTTTTCTGGTTGGCGCTAGTTCTTTCCTTCAGATTAAACTTCGCCATGTCTATCACCCAAAACTATCAAGTGGAATCCCTGGATGACACCAGAAACGCGTTGATGTCCTTCGCCTCTGGTTCCTCGAAACCTGGAGGTAAGCACACGACTGCCTTTGAAACTGGACTGTAAAAAAAAAGATGAAACCATGTTTTCACCTCAGCATTAACGACCGTTATCAAATCGTGAAAACTCGTGAAATTGAGAAAAATTTAGCCTGGTTCTAGAGCGTTTTTTCTCTCTTCTTTTGGTCGGTTTACTCAGAGGGAAATGATTACGAAAATAAAACAAAATTATGTTGGTGTGGTTATTTGCCATATCAGAAACTCCACTGCATTTCCTTAAAAAGTCAAAATCCTATGAATGCTCTAAAAAAGGGAGTATTTATGATTTCAAATCATAAATACGCCAAAATCTAAATAAGAAGGAAAGCTAAACCTTTGCAACCCAATTTAAAGACCGGGCGAATATGATGTACAAAAATTAACAATGTCAGTTTTAAATTCATTTCCGTTCGAATTTCAGTCTAAGGCATGGGTCGCACTTGGCAAAGTTTGGTGTGAATGTGGTCACTTTGGTGTAAAAATCTGTCATCGGGGCACATTGCCTAATGCGACCCCAACTTTTCCGGTTCGCATAAACTTCGAAAACCGGCCAAAACATCAAAGACGCCGTAGTGCTTGGGTGGGGCAGGCAGATTTCGGAAAACTCTAGCCTGCGAAGCAAGCCCTGGGGAAAAGGAGGGGGGATTGGGGGGAGCAGAATGTGCGGAGGGGAGAGGGAGGGCTTGCCACAGACCCCCACTAACTAACGAAACACCCCCTATTTTCATATTCATATCGTCTTGCATATGTCAATCAGCGCCTCTTAAAATTAACCAATCAGAAAGCGCGGTTAGCAAGAGCTCAGTGAACCATGCAAACTGTCAAAACAACAACTAAAACTTGCTCCACGTGAGTGAGAAATGTCAGACGACAAGGAGGATCTGGTAAATCTAGGATAAGTCTAATCTCGTATCAGTTCTACTGTCTCCCTGTCATGTCTGGTCTCTATATCACATCTGGTAACCCAAGTGCCTCTCACATCTGTCCCTTGGACCTCTACCATCTTAGTATCTCTACTATCTCTAGTATTTTTCATCACTTTTGATCTCTGTTTTATTCACCTCACTTCAAGTGGTTCTGGGGGCTCTAACACATCGTGCCTCTCACGCACATCTCCGGTCTGTCTCCCATGACCTGTTTCTCAAATGTCTAGTAACCATACAGTCTCGGGTTGCTCCACAATCTGTGTTCCCTCAGACATCACTGCTCTTTTCCCCATATCTCATCTCTTCATACACCATCTTTACTAAATGAAATATTGTAGTATTCGTAGCTCTCTGTAACTGTTCTTTCTATGTGAAGGTGTAGTCTGATCGTCCGGGNTCTTTCTGACATCCTTGGTCTTTCAATCATGTCTGGGTCCTCTACAGGTTGCTATATATGGTCTCTCTTCCATCTCTAGTCTTTCTGACATCCTTGGTCTTTCAATCATGTCTGGGTCCTCTACAGGTTGCTATATATGGTCTCTCTTCCATCTCTAGTCTTTCTGACATCCTTGGTCTTTCAATCATGTCTGGGTCCTCTACAGGTTGCTATATATGGTCTCTCTTCCATCTCTAGTCTTTCTGACATCCTTGGTCTTTCAATCATGTCTGGGTCCTCTACAGGTTGCTATATATGGTCTCTCTTCCATCTCTAGTCTTTCTGACATCCTTGGTCTTTCAATCATGTCTGGGTCCTCTACAGGTTGCTATATATGGTCTCTCTTCCATCTCTAGTCTTTCTGACATCCTTGGTCTTTCAATCATGTCTGGGTCCTCTACAGGTTGCTATATATGGTCTCTCTTCCATCTCTAGTCTTTCTGACATCCTTGGTCTTTCAATCATGTCTGGGTCCTCTACAGGTTGCTATATATGGTCTCTCTTCCATCTCTAGTCTTTCTGACATCCTTGGTCTTTCAATCATGTCTGGGTCCTCTACAGGTTGCTATATATGGTCTCTCTTCCATCTCTAGTCTTTCTGACATCCTTGGTCTTTCAATCATGTCTGGGTCCTCTACAGGTTGCTATATATGGTCTCTCTTCCATCTCTAGTCTTTCTGACATCCTTGGTCTTTCAATCATGTCTGGGTCCTCTACAGGTCGCTATATATGGTTTCTTTTCCATCTCTAGTCCTTCTGATGTCCTTGGTCTTTCAATCACGTCTGGGTCCTCTACAAGTTTCTATATATGGTTTCTCTTCCATCTCTAGTCTTTCTGACGTCGTCGGTCTCTCAATCAAGTCTGGGTCCTCTACAGGTTTCTATATATGATCTCTCTTCCATATCTAGTCTTTCTAACACCTTTGCTTTTTCAACCATGTTTGGTGTCTCTCCAGGTTGCCATTTATGGTCTCTCTTCTATCGCTAGCCTATCTAACATATTAGATCTTTCAAACATGTCTGGTGCCTCTACAGGTAATAGCTTTTGTAATCATTACGGTGGCCAATTTACCATTTCAACTTTGTTGATATATCCAAATTATTTCGTTACTCCCACCGACGCAGCCCCAAACAGTTTCTTTCGAAACTATCAGCCTCTACAGGTAATACTTTCTCTAACATCAGAGTCTATAATCCCTCTTCTATCTCAGCATGCTCCTCTCTGTATCATTTGTAATCTCTCTGCTATCGTTGTCTATCCCTCAGGTATGGTGTCTCTACCACTGATATATCCCCTTCTCATCCCTAGCCTCATCTCACTCATTACCTTTTCTAACCTCCAGGGTTGGCGCAGTGGTGAGAGCGCTCACCTTCCACCAATGTGTCCCGGGTTCGATTCCCGGACCCGGCGTCATGAGTGGATTGAGTTTGTTGGTTCTCTACTCTGCTCCGAGACGTTTTTCTCCGGGTACCCCGGTTTTCCTCTCTCCTCAAAAACCAACATCATTTGAATTTATTTCATTTAGAGTTTATTTGGATTTACGCACGACCCCACAAGGTGTTCAGTTTTAAACATTATAGTGTCTAAATAAAGGTATTATTATTATTATATTTTACCTGGTGAGACTCTTTCTGCCATATTTCTTATCTCTCTGTAGACTCGCTATTATGTTAGTTCCTAATGCCATCTCCTGCTTGGGTATCATCTTTTGTTTCCTTGCTACTTCCAGTCTCTCTACCACTTAGGTTTTCTCTTCCATTTCTTTCTATTATCTCTTGTCGTTGTACTTTTTCTGGTACTTCTCACCATGTCTACATCTGTTCTCTCTCTTTAATGTCTAATCTCTCTTCAAGGTGGAATTTTCTAATGTGCTCTCTCTGGTTTGATGCGTGTCTCACGCACCTTGCTTATCTCATGCGTCTTGCCATTTTATAACCTTTAATCTCCTTATCCTATTCGGTGTCTTAAATATCTTGCTATTTTTTGGTACCCTGTCATCCAAAACCCTCTACTATCTTGACCATCTCTAAAATTCCTTGCCATATCTTAATTTGTGTATCATCTCTGGTAGCCTTACCACCTACAACACCCTTATTCTTTTCTTGATTAGTCTCTGTGTAATATTGGGTCATCCTCTGGTCTTTTTACCACGTCTGGTCGCTCCACAATTTTCAGTTTCTCAACCACTTTTAGTGTCTTGTGGAGTGATGTTTTTCGATGAACCCAAAACCCAGAAATGTGCGTTCAGATTGATTCATGGATATAAAATGAAGTTGCCATCTATATTGTTGTAGCCTTCTTAGAATATCTATCTAAGTGGAGCGAAGAGCTCTCAGTAAAGCTGTGTGTCACACACTGCCAGTGATTATCACATCTCTCAACCATCTCTTATCTTTCTGCCTACAAAGGCCTGGCTGGTCTTCGTATCAGTTCTACTGTCTCCCTGTCATGTCTGGTCTCTATATCACATCTGGTAACCCAAGTGCCTCTCACATCTGTCCCTTGGACCTCTACCATCTTAGTATCTCTACTATCTCTAGTATTTTTCATCACTTTTGATCTCTGTTTTATTCACCTCACTTCAAGTGGTTCTGGGGGCTCTAACACATCGTGCCTCTCACGCACATCTCCGGTCTGTCTCCCATGACCTGTTTCTCAAATGTCTAGTAACCATACAGTCTCGGGTTGCTCCACAATCTGTGTTCCCTCAGACATCACTGCTCTTTTCCCCATATCTCATCTCTTCATACACCATCTTTACTAAATGAAATATTGTAGTATTCGTAGCTCTCTGTAACTGTTCTTTCTATGTGAAGGTGTAGTCTGATCGTCCGGGTGAGTGTAGTCCTGAGAAGGACTGTTGTCGGTGGTAGTGACTGACGTTTCGACAACCTGTGCGGAAGTCATCATCAGAGTCAAGTGAATGATTGTTGTCAGTAGAATGTTCTTATTCCAGTTCGTGTGAAATGATCGGTTGGTTTTGCCGTGATGTTATTGGCTGTAAGACTCAAGTGACGTAAGTCGGTCGTGATTGGTCTGTTTCGATCTGTCGGTAAAGTTAGGTCGTTCTTTTTCGGTCGTTTGTGATGTTTATGTCGTGAATGAGTCGTTTGTATGGGGCGGGTAGTTGTTGACATCTGTTTAGGGGAGTCTGTTCTAAGTTAGTAAACCAGCTTTCCAGAGTCAGTCGTTGAAAATAGTCAGTGCTGTAGGTTAGGCATTGCGCAGAGTCCCAGTCAATGTTGTGGTTGGTAAGTCGATGGTGTTCAGCAATGTGATTGCTGACATCACCTTTCCTCGTCGCCCGTCTGTGTTCAGTCAGTCTTGTTGTGAGGTTTCTGCCAGTCTCACCGATGTAGGAGGCTTGGCAGTCGGAACAATTGATCTTATAAATCGTTCCCTGTCTGTTCCTCGGTTCGTCTTTGTCTTTAACGTTGGTTAGTAACTGACGTAGTGTGGTGATGGGTTTGTGGGCGACGCGGATATTGAAGGGTAGTAAGATGCGCGAGATGTTTTCAGACATGCCTTTTATGTACGGTATGGTTGCTGTAGTCGTAGGGGTTGCGGTGTCGTTTGTTTCGGTAGTGGTAGTGGGTCGGTGAGTGTTTCGTCGGATGAAGTCGTTGTTGT